GTTGTACTTTGGCGCATGGGAACATCATAACACCAGTACTATTATTCTATAGGCTGGGGCTATAATTTCTTGAATGGTCCACTACAATAATTTCAAATATGAAGAAATTTTTAAAAAAGCCTCAAACCAATTTTTTTTAAATCGACTCACTTCAGTTTTTATTATAAAAACCGACCTACTTTCTGGCCACGTCAGCATTATGACCAGAAACTGGGTCGATTTAAAAAATCGGCTTTCTAATTAGTCGGGGTTAGCAAGCCTAACTAATTAGAACTATCCATCGCCACATCTGAGGTTAGGTCATCTAAACAAGTTAAGATTGTCAACCCTGACTAATTTGGTTGAGGTTCCCAACCCCGACCGTTTTGGTTGAGTTCCTTGCCCCGCACAAAATGGTCGGGGTTCACAACCCCTACCATTTGACAGCGTCTGTTGCCTGAGTCTAAATGGTCAGGGTTCCCCAACCCCGAAGATGGAGAAGCGGCTAAGTGACCAAATAGTCGGGGTTGCCAACCCCGATTATTTGATGTAGGTCTCCCCGATTATATATACGAACCACACTCATTCTTGCCCCAACTTCTCAATTTCTCTCTCTCTCTAACTCTAGTCTCTCCCATTCTTTCAACCAAGAGGTTCTCCCAACCTCATTTTGTGGCCTAAATTCATCGTGGAAGTTTGTTTAAGATCTCTAGGGTAATTTCTCTGCCTACTCTCTTCTTTTAACATGTAAAAATCTAGGATTTTTCTCTTTTCTTCAACATTCAAATGTAGGGTTTTCATCAAAACCTAATTTCTAGGTTTTGAAATTTAATATTAATCACTATCTTTATAGTGGTTTGAATGCTTTATGTGTTGATTGCTGTAATTGAAATTAAAATTCTAGAGCATAGAATGCTCATTTCTAGGATTTAGGGTTTTCATTTTGGGGTGTAGGGTTTTTAATTAAAATTATATGAGATTATTTGTATCTAGGGTTTTCCTCTCTTATTCAATGGCCTGATAAAATAGTTTTAATTTTTTTTGCATTTAATCAATATAATCTTTTTTTGCATAGGTTGAACAATATGATTCTTATTGCTTACTCTTATGGTGAGAAAATTCATTATGAAAGGAATAATATGCCAATGTACGTTGGAAGGTAACGACGCCATTAATGATCTCGGAATCATATAGTTAATGTGACTTGATTAAGGAATTACACGGAGTTACGAAAATTAACCCACGAGAGTACCGACTAAAAATAATATGCAATTGGCCCATAACTTTTGATAGAACATCCGCAGTTGAGATCTCAAACGATGATCATATGAGTATTATGTTTAATTTGAGTAAGTCGCAACCAACGGTAGAATTGTTTATTGAAAAGTTTTCATATTTAATTTGAGCAAGTCGCAATTTGGAGGTGCAAATACTTTGTATTACACGTACTCTTCTGAGTGGTATCAATCAAGTCACTATAAAGATACATACAAACCGTATTTCCATCCCATTGTAGATAGTCGTTACTGGCCATCCTATAACGTGCCGCATGTATTACCTTCTAAATATAAGAGACAAGTCGGACGTCTGCGATCAACACGCATAAAAGGTACGATGGATGAATGATAGGAATGAACTCTAAAGAAAAATAGGTGTGGATATTGCAGACAACCGGGCCTTAATAGATCTAATTGTCTCACCAATCCAAATAGATAGCAATTAATGGATACAATTTATTTAATTTATAATTTTATTCTACTTCATTTGTAAGCCAATGCATACTTGTAAATTTTGTAATTTACTTTTAATTCAATTTATCATATGTCATAATACTAACACATTTTAATTTTAGTGCAGATATTTACAGAATGCAGGCGGGACCATTGACATACGAGGTCCTATATGTCCAAGATCGACACCGATCCACGTAGATAGACTCAGAGGAGGTAAATTACATTTTTATTATTTTCAATCATTTTAAATTTTCAAAGTTAGTACTTTTACTGATCATTTAAACTGTCTCATGTATGCAGGCCTCGAGTATTACTATTGTTGATCATACTCATGCACATTTGAGTTGGGATTTGACGGATCCACGGGTCCAATATTATGTTCGTCAAGCAGTTTTTTTTGAATATTCACAAATCAAATGGGTAAGACTCGATTAGCCTCTTTTGATGGCATTGATTGAACGATGGAGGCCCGAGACAAATACATTACATATGAGCCAAGGAGAATCGACTATTACTTTGCAGCATGTAGGGGTTTTACTTGGCCTCAAAGTGGATGAAGATGTTGTTACGGGTACCGATGATTTCAACTGAATAAGAGTGTGTGAACGATTGATGGGCCAAGTTCCTACTATGAAGGGTCGTAAGATGAAGCCCGAGTGGTTACGAAATAATTATATGAATGTACCGATTATGAAATAATTATATGAATGTACCGATCGATGCAACTGATGAGAGCGTCAAGAGCTATGCCTCTACGTATATACTCCATATAATCGGTACCATTCTATTTCCAGATTCAACTAAGGATTCGGTGCATGTTAGATGGTTGTCACTTCTTAAGGATCTTGAGTGTGGAGAATTATCTTGGGGGAGAACAGTGTTAGTTTATCTCTATAAGGAGATGATAAAAGTGACATTCGTACAAAATAAAGAATTCAAAGGCTGACTAACTTTATTGCAAATATGGTCATGTGAGCGATGACATTTGGGAACACTAGATTTGTATGGTTGGATTCCATTAGGATGTAGATATATTGGTTTGTAATAGATATGATTACATGTAATTTTATACATTTATTTTAATCTATATTATATATTTGTATATTAAATAGATGGAATGTTTTCATATATTGGCAAACCTCCCCCAAAGGGTCATGAAAACTTTTACAGGAGCGAGCTTGATCAAATAGAGGATGAACATGTATAAAATCATAGTATCTAACTATATTCAATGAATACATCATATGTTACTAGTATGTAAATTTACGTAATTTTCTTTATAGGTCAAGTGGATTCCCTATGAACTGGTTTTAGCTTCACTATCAGATATTTGTAGAAATGATGAAGATATATAGCATGCCCGAGTACCGATTATATGTTTTGAGATTGTCAAAATGCACGTGCCCTATCGTGTGCTCCGATAATTTAGATTAAAACAACATATTCCGGATCCTGTAAAAAGAATAGAACGAAATCCCCAAAAAATTAAGAGCACATCATCAAAATTAAAAGATAACTCATCATGCTTACATTGAGAATTGGGAGTTGAGGGAGGATGTTGTAGTGATGGAGAAGGCTAACACACCATAACTAGATGTGTACTTACGTTGGTATTGGAGAATTACTCACCGATGGATATTTCGGGAGAACAAAACACCTAAGGAATACATACCGAGAGGTCCGTTTGAGAGAGTTGGTAAGTGTATAGGCAAAATATACAATTATTTCATGATTATTATTTTTATTATCATCCAATTGCTAATATTCCTCTTTCGCTTTTTATCTTATAGGTACAAGAACTCGATGAGGTTGCTTTTATTGCACATGATGCATTGAGATCGACTACCGAGCCAGGGGCGAGGAACACATTTGTTCGCATCATAGGAAAAAATTCAGTCTGCTCTTAGAAAGACGCGTCATGCAAATCGTGATGCACGTGAGGAACGACTCATAGGGTACGAACGTCGACGGGTCCGAGGACAGACAAGAGCAAGCCAAACCGGATGTTCACAGCAGGTTCAAGTCGACGAGGTTGTCATGCACTCACAAGTTCACACACAACCGGATGATGAGATCATCCAACCTCATGTTGAAGGAGAACGAGGAAGGGGGAGAGGAAGAAGAGGAAGAGCAAGAGCGAGAGGAAACGGAGTTCTAAATATTTGCTAAATTTCGATATACTCTATATGATGTTTATGTTTGAAATGCTACGAGTTTATGTTTGAAATGCTACTGTGACTTGATTATGGTTGGATTTTTAGTAAGTGAATTACATATTATGTTTTTGTTAGAGATTGGTTATAGATGTAATAATTATATGAAGACATGTGCTTATTTATGATTGAAACTGATTGTGGATTGATGTGTAGCAAGAGAGTTGTGTTAAACTTAACAATTTTAGTTAAAGATTGATATATGTTAGCACGAGATGAGATTTTTCAGCAAGTATGTGGGCTAGATGGTCTCTGCCAAATAATTAGGGTTAGGAACCCCGACCATTTCGTGCACGCGATGCACGTTCTGCTAAAGACAATTTTGTGCGGGGCAATCCCAAACGATCGGGGTTTGGGGTTAGGAATCCCGACCAAATTAGTCAGGGTTCGCAACCCTAACTTGTTTAGATGGCTTAACCCCGGATGTGGCGATGATCAGTTCTAATTAGTCGGGGTTGGTTGCCAACCCCAACTAATTAGGAAGCCAATTTTTTTTTTAAATCGACCTAGTTTCTGGCCACGATGCTAACGTGGTCAGAAACTGGGTTGATTTCTATAATAAAAACTGGAGCGGGTCAAATTTTTTTAAAAAAAAGTTTGGTTTGGGGCTTTTTTGAAATTTTTTTCTTTCAAACATTTATCATTTTAGATTTTCCTATATAGAAAACTTAACTCAAAGAAAAAGGTGGAGATTTAAAATCTTACTAGATATTTTAAGGACAAATTTTCAAAAACAACCCGTTTAAAAACCTAATCTCAAAAAATAACCTATTTAGAAATTATTTACCAAATTCGATCCATTTTCAACCAATTGGCTGAAACTGGGTCGAATTTGGTGAAAAAATTACAAAACTTCACATGACTTCAAGTCCCGTGAAATTTAAGCGCCAGATAATCAAGTTTAATGGGGTTTTAAACTTCACGGGTTTTGTAGTTTTTTTCCACCAAATTCGACCCAGTTTCATCCAGTTGGTTGAAATTAGGTCGAATTTGGTATATATATTTTTCAAATAGATCATTTTTTTAGAATAAGTTTTGGAATTGGGCTAAATTGAAAATTTGTCCATATTTTAACCTTTGCTGCATTGGGCACCGAAATGAGAAGAGCTTCATCAATCGATTCACAGGCATAACTATCCCCATCGATCTCAATCTTGCAGTTCCCTAAATCGAGATCGAATACATAAATGACAGATTTTACGGGGATTTTTTAATAGAAAATTTAGGGTTTTGAGCAGTACCCGATAAAAATTGGAGAAGGAGACTAGCGCTTTTTTCGCGCCATCGGATTTCTTTGTAAGGCGATTTCGAATTTCGATGTGAGAAAATTTTGGGGGAAATTACCGATGCCATTTTATAGAGAGCGGGAAGTGTTCTGTAGACCAAAGTATTAAATGGGTTATTTGAGATAGCCCATTGATGCATCTCTATCACTGAGGCCCAAGCCCAAATCCTCACCTCTTCCAGCTGGAAAACCCAGAAACAAAATTAGTAAGGAGGCGGGCAACGGCTTCATGTACTGCGAAATCGAAAAATAAGCCCTCTCTTTTTCAGAAATTTAATGTCTAAAATTTTCAAAATTTGCATTCCCGCTACTTTCTACTCTCCTCTTCTTCGCTTTTTGCGGCTAGCCCCTTCTACTATTCTTTTGTTACCAAACCCTAGAATTATTTCCTCTTTCTAGGGCATCGGATGGAGCAATTCAACTCCAAGCTTTACGATAAGTACCAGAATCTCAAGGTAACTCCTTTGTCTCAAATCCGTATCAAGAAAATCAAAAGATATGTTCTTTTTCTAATTTGGGGTTCAATTTCTTCAGAAGAGGAAGTTAATCGACGAGGAGGAGCTGAGCCATAAAAGAGACGCTGCTCTTAGAAGCTACCAGCTCGGTATTTTGTTGATAATTTCCCAAAACTCTGTTTCTTTTTGGGTGTCTAGGGCTTGAGATCTGGAATCTTTTTGCAGAGGTTGAGGAGCTGATTGAAGAGTTGAAGAATGAGAACGACCGGTTGCGATCTGAGATGTGAGTGTTATTTTCATGGGTTGTTCTTTTAATGTATTTATTGAAAGGTTTAACCGTGGGATGTTGTGTTATTGTGTTGTAGAATTGAGCTGCAAAAGAAGTACGATGAGAGCCAGAAGCTAGTGATTGAAGAGAGCAAAAACAGTGAGAAAGCAGACACCTTTATGTTTTAATTTTATGCTTACATGTGTGTTTTGAATTTACAATGTTTTATACAGTAGAACATATTTAGGTGAAGTATTTCATTCTATTTCCGTTCAGGTTAAGTTTGTTGAAGAATTAGCATGCCCTTACTGTAATAGTAGTATATTAGAAGTTATAAAACAATGTACTCAAAAATAGCAATTGACAAGTTTGAGGTCACAAATATACTGATTTGATGGGTAGGATAGGATTCACGTCCAGTGCAACATGTGTATTTGCTATCTAAATTCCTTTCTTATTAAATTATAGGACATGTGCTTTCGTAATTCATTTTAATTATAGTGTAATAGCATACCAAAAAAAAATTCTAAATTAGGTAAAGGAAGAAAACCCTATTACCTACTTATCAGATGTTGAGGGAATTATCAAAATGAGATAAAACCGAGATATGCAAACCAAATAAATCAAACTCATCTGTGTGAGCATGGGCACAATACTTGTTAGAAGTTACGAAACAATGTATTCATGAACGTTCATTGCTCAAATGAGAATGTTGAGATGGATGTGGCAATATATTAAAGGGTGGGATAACAAATTGGCGCATGTATAAGAAAACATCATTAGCTTCAAAAAGCTAAGATGAATAGTCCCATTACTTTTTTAGTCCCTACAATGTCTCTTATGTGCAGAGACCAACAAGTGCTGTTGAGTCCAACTCTATTTCGCCTCAGCTGAACTATTGTGATGTCCATTTTTTCCGTCAATGTTTTACATCACTTCACTATGTTCTTTTCCAGTCAGTTCACTAGTTCTGGCAGTCATATTAAGAGACTTATGTCATGAAACATAATGGATGTTGGTGTCATTTATATATTTAACTCATACTCTTACTGTGGTAACTAATACTATTAGCTTACTGTAAATAACACAGTATTTCACATGCCAGTGTTATATAGACTGGAAATATCTCTGACCAATAACTGATTTCCTAATGGCGGTATTCTAAATTCGAACAAGTAAGGGTGTCAGGAGCATACAAACTTTCCCTAAGATAATTGATTACTTGTTTTACACTTTTGCTACCTTTAGGCTGCAATGGTCTAGGCATGTTTAAGAATAACTTGCAGATGCGGCCATCAATATAGATGATCTCCATCATTCCTTGGATTTATCTTTTAATATGGGTTCAAGGCACTCCTACTCTTTTCTGCTTTGTCTTGCTGCGGTTTAAGTTAGCAGATTTCACATGTTTTATCTGTTCTGCATATTTGACCTTTCAGAGTAAATCAAGCTTGATTCATGAAGTATTTAAATTGAAAATTTTGTTATATACTCGGACATAGAGAGGGATGCAAGTGTAAGCTTGTAGTGGACACGTGTTTTTTGAAGTGTTACAAAAGCAAGACCTGCTCTTCTAGTCTTAAGCTTTGGCCAAAACCATCATCCATGGCCATTAGTAATCTTCTCGTAGGGGATCAATCTGAAACTAGGCCAATATATCAGCTAGTAGTTGACAAAAAGTCATCAATTTTCTGGAGAACATCATCCTTGATTTGAATAACTAGGAAGACATTTCAGCTTGAGGAGGTAAGCAGGTTGTGGGTAGACAACTCAACATGATCAGCATGAACCTGCAATTGACTAATGTAGTTCCCTTGAGTTATTGAACTTCTGCAAGTTTATCTTACAGAAAGAAGCAACGTGAACAAATGTATGCAACTCATCATGCTTGAGCAAATTATGAGAGAATTAGAAAGATGGGAAGAAATTATGTTCGCATATTAATAAGATTTGGAAACAATAAGAAAGAAGAAAAAGAAGATTAGGGTCTTATGTTGGATCAAGCACTTTGCATATCTTCATGGAATCCTTAATTCCAGCTTATCGACTAATTAATGAAAAATACTATGATGATATCCATTATAAGCCTAATTGACGCAAAAATAAAAAAAATTAACTCCTACTTTAACTCGGATTTTCTTCAATAAGATGATTCATGAAAACACTTTATCCCCAATCATCCCACTATAAAATTTAGAAAACCATACTGCATTAGATACATATGCTTTACTAAAATTACAAAATAGTTTTCGAGTACTTCTTGTAATTTTACCTTCAAATGGCAATATTGAAAGATAACAGCCTAGAAATTCAAATTTGAAACTATTGAAGGGGTTCTCAAGCGAAGTTTTCAAACCTTGCTAAATTCCAGTTCAAGTGTCAGCTTTAATACTGATTTCCAAATTTATTTTAAAAGAACCATATGTGGTGCACCTCAGACAGAATCAAGTTTCAAATATTGCATTAGCACCAAAGTTATATTTATCCTATGTTATTTGGCACTAATTTAAGAAGCAATGCTGATTACCATTTAAATTACTTTATATATTTGATATTTGATGTCTATCGCTATTATAGAACATTTCTTTTATTTGAAGATGAGGTAATGTCCGGAGGCATGCAAGCATTTAGTTATTAATCGCTAAAGATTGCATCATTTACCACTGAAGTTATATTTATACTATGTTATTTGGCAATAATTTAAGAAGCAATGCTGATTGCCATTTATGTTCTAGTTGATGTATATTGCTATTATAGAACATTTCCTTTAGTTGAAGATGAAGTAATATCTGTAGACATGCCAGCATATAGTCATAAACTGATCAAATTGTGTAACAGAAAAACAGCTCTCTGATGAAGTAGGAAGACTTCAGAATCTATTATCAGAGAAGGATGACCATGCCAATGGTGTATCACCCAAATCTTCTTATACTAGTCCTAGACGCTCATCGAGGAATACACACAAATGTTCATCAAAGAAGACGACTCCAAATCAATCGATCACACGAAGTAAGGTCCAGTATAAAGAATCCACCGACAATCCTTATGAAAGCTGTCAACAGGAGAAACATGTGGTATGAAGATTATAACTACATATTGTTGTCTTCAAGTTGTTGAAAAATATTGCAACTTGTTGAATCTTCGTTTTTAGTGCCCGGCTGATCGATTAATATTATTCTCTGAAATTATGATACATGTACCTGACGTGGAAATTTATAGCCAGAATGCTGCCGGAATAACGTAACAGGTTCAGGTGCATCTTCTATTTGAAAATGCTTATTTGTAATCTTAATCAACCAATCATTCCAACTCTTTCTTATATTAGGTTTGATATTTTGATAGGAGATGCAATGAGTGAAGATCAACTAACATGCACATTTCAGTCTCTCTTGGAGTACTTTGTCAGCATGAAATTTTCATTGAAACTGCAAGCTGATGGGCTATGTATTTTAGCCATCCATCAAAGGAGTGGTAATTTACTAACTTCCAATAATCAACTCGTATTTTCTTAGAAGTTATACATCCAAAATCCTTCGCATCGCTTTCCAAAAGCAAAATTTCTTTTAGCTACTTCTATGAACTGACTAATATTTTCTAATTAATACCCTTCCTCTTATGTGTATATCTACCTCCTATTTGTATTATTTTCATTATTGTGCTAGAATCTATAGATTGCAAGTAACTGGTTCTTTTCAATATTGCCACATGTAAACTCTTGTAAACTGGGACATCTTTGTTTTAGCCATTATGTCCCACAATATTTTTCACAGAAGTTTCCAATGGGCATGTTGATGATCCCCTCAATTCCAAGACCGAACCCAACATATGGATATGGGATCATATAAACCCAACATATGGATATGGGATCATATACTGTTTCTTATAAGATGTTGAACAACATGTGCTTTCCATTCCTGTACTGAAAGCTAAATCTCTCACCTTATGAAACATTGCTACTGTAACATGAATTTCATATGTAAATATACTTCCTTTAAAATTTCAATCCATTTAATTGCATATGGGATCATATACTGTTTGTTAAAAGATGTTGAACAACATGTGTTTTCTATCCTCCTCTGCCGAAAGCTAAAGCTTTCCCTCACCTTATGAAACATTGCTGGCGTAGAATATGGATTTCATTTGTAAATATGCTTGATTGCTATCTTAGCTTCTTAAATGGAGAATAGTGAATGCTTATTTTCTCGCAAGAATGTCCCTCAAAGTATACTGATACTAAGAACTCAGCAAACCCATTTTGAGGAACAACTGCGTATAGATGGTGATTTCATGCGAAAGAGACATTTGTCTCTTGTAGTCCTTTCTTCTTCTTCTACTGTTCTTAAAGCTCATCGAGGCACCCAAGTGTTGCGTGGCGTCCTATTTATTATCTTGTTGAATCATTGTGAATTTCTAAACCACATCTAAACTCGTATTCAGATGATTATATCATTGTCATCACATAAAATTTTAGCTGAAAATTGTTTCATCTTTGAGAATAAATTGTGTTGAGAAAGCTCCAATATAACTGATCAAGGTTTCTTCATGACGTTTGACTTGATATAGAACCTTGGTCATATTGAGGATGCAGATCCTACTTCAATCACATAAGCACACAATAAGACAATAGAATCCCAATAATTGAAGAATAATACAATATTAAAGTGGTTAGAGGGTGTTCGAGAGGGCTTATTTTTTGTCAAAGTAGCTTCTAAGCCAGCTTATTAATATATGACTGTTTGGTACAGCACACATAAGCTAGCTTTTACGCCCCACTTGAAAAAGTTGGATTCCACAACTTATGAAATACTAGCTTATAAGCCCACCTAAATAAGCTAGGTTTGACCAAGTAAATGACTTTTATACCCATACAATTTCTATAAGAGTTCTTTCATAAAAACCAAAAGTCATCCTAGCTTAAAAGCTTCTAAAGCCTCTCCAAACACCTTCTTGGTTAGATCAAATTCGAACTACATCCACTGGGCAAAAATAGAAAGATTGATTACATTACCCTTAGGAAAACTAGATTACAAGAGAAATTCCTCATCTCTCTTCACTCATCCTTTCCCTCACATAGCCCTAATCTCAAATCCTCTCCGAAGTTCATCTCATATCTCATTCATTATTGACTAATATCGGCTTTGCAGGATATACTTTTACTCTGACATGGGTAAGGCATGCGGATGGAAGAGACGGAGAGATGTTTTACCGGGTATCTACCCTGGGGACGCTAGAGAGGATTGCTCTTGATTGGATGAAGGAGGACATGGTTTTCAGCGTGACCATGTTCTCTGTTTTCTTAGAAAGAATAAAGAGAGTTCTTGGACACTCTTGATTGAATCCTTGGCATCTCTCTTCATCTTAAGCTGCAGAAAGCTTCGACTTTGAGATGTACAACTGCTGATCATTTTGCCAGAAAGAGACTCCATGTACCACTGAAGATCATTGTATATTGGGCAATGTTTAATATTTTGGCTACTAAAATGCTGTCAAGGAATTGATTTGACTAATGTATGTTAAGCTCTCGTCTGCTGCTGTGATGTTACTTAGCAGTTTGAACTGTTAGAAATATTGTATTCTTTCAGGTTTGAGAAATGTGATCGATGTTTATCAATTGATTGAGCAAAGCCTACATGTTTTCCACACTGCGAATATGTGGTGATGTCTTTTTTGGACAACAAATCACATCCATGATTCTATTTTGATTGAGAGAGAAATATGTGGTGGGGGGGATTGTGTTCAAACGTGTGCTGGTGATTTTTTTTTTAATTTTCTTTTGATCCCAACTTAAATACACTGATGCTTAAACGCAAGATAAATGCTCGTTAAAATCTCAGTGTGTATCATTCCATGAAATTGGCATGTCATAGTTTTTTGTTCTTAGGAATTCTTATATACACCCTTAGCATCTCTTTCCTGTTCTATATAAAGCTGGAAACTTTAATTTTCATCTTTCACTCCATAATAATATCGCATATGTCAGACTTGATGAGAACAAAGTTTTGCACTGCAAATACGTGGAGGAGGGATATAATGGGGATGCTTGTTATCAGTATTTAAAACTAAGACATCAAAACTTGACTACGTACTAAGCTATGTTATTGCTTGTGCTTTGCATCATTGATTACTCCTTGTATATAGCAATCAAGCGTGTTGTGAATATTTTGGCAAGAGTACGTATATAGCAAATGTGTGTTCTATATGAATTGTTTCAGGTTGTATGAAATTGTCTGCATCAGTTGGCAATTGACACATACTTTGGACTTAGTTTTAGGTTGCATGAATTGTTGATCGTATGAATTGGTTTCATGTTGTGTCATGTATGGAACAGTTTCAGGTTGTCTTTCAGCCTGCTCTTAAAACGAAAAGCATTCCCTCCAAAACTAACACAAAAATCTTGCAAAACACAAGCGCGCGCCAACACACAAAAGAAAAACACACACACACACACACATCCAAGAAACTTACTAACCCTTTTAAGCTCATCAGTTGATCTTTCAGGTTCACACAAATTTTCCATTTAAACTACCTCTGGTTCCTCAATTTCATCAAGCTCTCTAACTACAATCTCTTCACGATCAATTGGTAAGTTCTTCAGGATGATGGGGACATCCGGACTCATACACGAGATTTTCGCCGAGTTTATCAGCGCAGGAGGCGCAATATTTCAGCACTATGGTTTTGATTTCAAGTTGTAATAATTAGTTTGAATTTTGAATTTTTGAATTTCGAATTTTGATTTTATTTGGTAGTTAACCAACTGATTGATTGTAATTGGTTAAGAGAGAGATTTGAGGGATTGAGAGGATTTTCCAAAACTGTAATTTGCTTTATTTAAACTGTCATGTAATCAGTTTGAAAAAAATTACTGATGAATGAAATTGATTTGCTAAATAATGGTGTGAAACCCTAGCTTATTGATTTTGATCAGCCGTCAATCTCTTCACAAAATAAAAACAAAAGAAAATCAAACCCGATACTGTTCATCTTCTCCTCCAAGCAAACAATCAAACCCACACAGTCCTCCCCTTACAACCGCAGCAACCACACCCGAAGACCACCGGACCGCCGCCCTCCTCCGTCGACTCCAGCAATCACCACCTCCTCCACCGACGGCCTTCCCCTTCGTCCGCCTCCGGTGTTCCCTCCGCCCGAATCCCCCGACGCGAGCAACCACCGCCATCCCAAATCCGACCGCCTCCCCTTCAAATCCCCTGCAACCGCACCTGAACCATCATCGCCGACGAAGTCTTCGTCTCTCCCCGCGACGACGACCAGCCAGCCCAGAATCCTCGAGCTCCTCGTCCAGTCCCGCCCAGTCAGCACCGCCGCCTGGACCGCCGCTCACTCCGATCCGAACGCCGTCCATCCCGACTCAAGCGCCGTCCTCATTCGTCGAGCGTCGATTCGTTCCTGCTCCCCCTTTTCCGCTTGTCCTCAGATCCAGATCCTATTGAAGACTATTTGGCTTGAGTGATTTAAAGCAGAGTCCCTATTCACTCAACCAACCCATTTGATTTGAGTCAAGTGTGGACCAGACCCACTTGACCCAATCCGGAGTTGTTGAAGCTAGTTGAGTCAGATTCAACCATTTGATCCCTGATTTTACAATTGATGGTGTATGGCAGATCCTGATGCAGATGACGGAATCGTGCTAGATCCAGAGACCGGCATCGCAGATTTACAGCTTTCCCCGTGGTTTGATTATCAGTCATTCGAGAGCGTGCCCGAGTACGTTGAGCGTGTGACTCATCAGATCGTTGACAGCGTAGAGAGTAGTTTGGGAATCAGTTCGTGGCATCGGCGTTTCCATCCAGATACACCACTCCATCCGAATTACGCCGCCCTCGGTGGAGAGCTTCCACCCCTCATATTTGGCGTCGTTGAACCACCTCCAGAGGATCCTCCCGTCGAACCAGTTCAACCCGACGAAGGTTCAACTTTCTTTCGCCCAATTATTTTCGGAACTGCTATTGCTTGCATGTTGTTATCAATATTACTATCGATCGTATTTGTGCTGTAATCAGTTTGACTAAGTGAGCGAGCGAATCTGTTGCTAAGTATTTTTACTTATCCAAATATTACACTTTGAACTGTATTGAGAGAACGAATCATTACATTTATTTTCTGGATCATTTACAAAGATTTGAACTTAGTACATTGCAACTTTTGCTTAAAACCCATCAAAAGCTACACTTTATTCATGAGCTTCCTGCCTAGATCGATCGCTGATTTGGCGAAGCATTGCTGTTGTTAATCTTCATACCTGCATCACATTGTTTCGCATCATTTTTGGTATCAGAGCACCCGGTTCTAGGTTAGGAAATTTGTGTCTTTATAATAAAAAAAAAAAAAATTAGTCATCTCATTTAAATTTTTTTTTTTTTTGCACCCACTCATTTCATTGCATTTAGTGCATGCCCACTCGTACCGGTCTACCCTATCGCTTAGGAGAGTCAAGTGAGTCGACTAGTGAGTCCAGTATGTCAGGCAGTAGCGATTCCGAACTCTATAAGAAACTCGATGAGCTAGCAGGACAATTAGGTGCCGTAGTCCAGGGTTTAACCAATCTCCGAAATGAAACCAACGAAAAGTTTGCTAGGCTCGAAGAAGCTCGTGTTGCAACTCCACCACCGCCAGATCAAGGTTATCAACATATCGCCCCACCGCTGCAAGGTCAAGGCTATGGAAACATTGGTCAGCGCCCCCCACATCAACCAGTACCTGATCCGGATGCGCAATACTTAAGGAGTATTAAGATCAACGCCCCAACTTTCGACGGCAAGCTCGACCCACAAGCTTTCTTGGACTGGCTGAAGAGCATGGATCGTTATTTTGATTGGTACGCCCTGACGGAACCCCGAAAGGTCAAGTTCGCCGCAATGAAACTTACCGGACCCGCCTGCCAATATTGGACCAACCTCGAAACGTTGAGGCACATTAGAGGCGAGTTACCGATTACAACTTGGCGAGAAATGACCAACGAACTTAAACAGAAATACCTTCCGCCATCCTTTTATCATCGGTTGTTAGATAAGTGGCATCGCCTCACTCAAGGAACCAAATCTGCGAAAGACTACGTCGCACAATTTGACGAACTGTTCACTCGATGCAACACTATTGAACAAGAGGCGCCAATGAAAGTCTTGTCGAAGTTTAGAGCTGGATTAAGAAATGATCTGCAAACCGAACTCTTTGCTCGGGGAGTAGACACCCTTGAAAAAGCTTACGCGTTAGTTCAGGATCTAGATGAATCAAAATCCCATCAATCTTATAGGAGTCAGGATTTTAGAAATCATTCCTCCCAACCTTCCCGTGCCACTACTTCTAGTCATCCTCCGAGTCGATATAACCCTAGTTCTTCCTAGTCGAAAGTCGATTCCAAAGGCAAGGAACCGGAGAGAGATTTCTCCAAGATTGGAGCTCACGTCAAGTGCTACAAATGCCAAGGGTATGGGCATGTTTCTGCGAACTGTCCGACCCGTCACAAGGTTGCTATCATTGATGGACAATACGAATACGAGCCTGAATCAGAAGGTGACGAGTTTGTCCATCAAATCGACGATGATACCGATGATTTCGAGGATGATGCTGATGATACTATCTTAGGTTGTCTTAGACAAATTGACACTCCTACCGTATCAGTTGTCAGATGCGCCATCTCTCAACCCAAGGCTGTTGATGATTGGAGACGTACTTCCATTTTCCACACGTTCACAAAGATTGGTGATAAAAATTGTAAAGTGATCGTGGACAGTGGAAGTTGCATTAACCTGTGATCGCTAAGCTTGGTCTCAAGGTTGTACCCCATCCTAATCCATACAAGGTATCATGGATTAACGACACCGCCCTCAATGTCCAAGAGAGATGCCTAGTCCCTCTTCAATTTGCCATTTATAAGGACAAAGTTTGGTGCGATGTTTTGAAAATGGATGTGGGTCAAGTTATTCTTGGAAGGCCCTGGTTATTTGATAACGACGTTCACATCTTCGGGCGATCCAACATGTTATTGTTCGAACACGACGGGAAGAAGGTCAAAATCCTTCCGGTTCAACCAAAAGGAAATGACAAGAAGACCGACCCAAATAAATCTTCCCAAGGTGTTAACCTGATTGGAGCCAAAGAAATTAATCGTGAACTAGCCAACGGAGCTCCTATTTTTGCCCTGGCCAACGGAGCTCCTATTTTCGCCCTCGCCGCTAGAGAAGCTCCGAAGGATATTTCTAACGTGGTTCCCCCAGAAGTCGCTACTGTGTTGGACGAATTTTCTGACGTCTTCCCTGAAGACCTCCCGGACCAATTACCCCCGATGCGTGATATCCAACACGCAATTGATTTCAGCGAAAGGCACCACGGGAAAGGATTGTGTGGTGATCCGCCGTCGGCGCATCCCTGAGAGATTCTCCATATCCACCCCCGCTAAAGTAAGGAAAAGATCGACGAAAATTATAGTGCCCGAAGTGGGAGAGCGTCTTCCTCGTATCGGGGATGTCCTTGCACTTCCAAGAGCACCTCTCCAAACGCTGGACGAAGGGAACAAACTTGTCTCCCTGAAGCGCTGCCGGGGCACTCATCAAGCATTCGCAGTGATAGACGAACCATGCCATCAAGTAGGTATACGGTAGCC